TATTTTAAAAATTTCGTATGGAAATAAATGTTAATTGCATTGCTTAAAATCTGTCTCTTATACACATCTAGATGTGTATAAGATCTCTTTTTCTTTCCTTTTCTTTTCCTCTTCTTTCTCTTTCCCTCCCTCTCCCCTCTTTCTTTTCTCTCATTACCCAGCCCAGTACGACGGCTTGGTCAGCCCGGTAAAAACCATCAGGGGAGGGGCACTCCCCCCCCCCCCCCCCAGTCCCCCCCCCCCACGCCTGTTACGACACTGGCTAACATGCCAATCATCCCTCCCCCCAATGAAAAATATTTTTCTACGCCACTGTGTACATATACTGTACTGTATACTGTAAATGTACATTTATGCAATGTTCAATAACTTTATGAAATATTCAAATATTAAACATATGGAGATGGGGAAGCATGTACAATAATATCACTAGAAGCACAAAAATAACTAAATGTATTTTTTGCCCTCGAGCTGAAGTACATTTGGAGCAAATGGAATGCGATTTTACCAGGAACTTATTGATTAAACCTTAGACATACTGTACTCTTGTGTTATGCAGATTGTGGATACAATAGCAATTATTGAAATAGTTGTGTAATCTGTATAAAAACTAATGGCAAAGACAACGAGATAGCATTTAATTCACATCCTAGGCGAGACATTTTTTATACCTTGTTTAGTGAACTCCCCAACTGCAAATAATGGGGATTTCAAATAAATATAACATTTTATTTTTGGCCGGTTGGCGTACCTTCTACCATGAAAAATGGAAATTTCATGGAAAAAGAATTTCATTAAGCCTGTCACACCCCTGAAATCTCCAAAAATAAGATGTATATTTCATTGTTAATTAATTATAAAAATTTAAAGCATTTCTACACTGTTTACATTCATCAATAACATTTTATTTTTATTTTCTCGCCTGCTTATTATACTTGGAAAATCATTATGCTAAATAAGAAAAAGTTTTATTTCTTTTTTTTCCCGCCCTACTCTGACGATCTTTGAAAAATACTGTATGTTTGCTGCAACAAGTATTAAAAAGGTCTCGCCCTAGCCTCTGAAAATACATCAGTTATTGGCAACCATTGGCTAGGAAAGCTGCAGTAGGTAAAATTGAGAAAATGGTATATTCAACTTTGTTATTAATTAAATAAATTTCAAAGTTGTTTATTGCAGAAACTTTCACTGGCAGCCAGTACGTTCTTTTTTTTCTGGTGTCAATTTTTAATCAGAAGAAATAAAATGCTTTTGGGAATTTCAACACTAATGTTCATTAAACCTGCCACATTCGAACAAAAAAGCACTGTGTTGCTTTGCTTTTCCTACTCCCAAGTATATAAGAGAGATTAACAATCACTGAGATTAACTTCCAAACTACATATCCTCATGATGGATACTCTCGGCTTAAATTTCGAATGAACTATTAGCTAGCTCTAAAATTGATCCCTGGGGTTTTAATTTATAAAAAAAAAAATAAGTAAATGTTTTATTGCGAAATGGTTCTCCACAAGTTTACAGAGTATAACATAAATCATCGATGTTTGAGTTTTGTTGGTTGCTAGACTATATGGTAACAGTTGTTCTTCACTTTTTCTCTAGGTGAATATTTACATGACGCATTTGTCGAATTACGGTAACGATCGGATTGCGCTGTACACTTTCGATAATGTCATCAATTTTGTCCACAAATGGACCAATCTGAAACTGCACGCTCTGCCGCCAAAACAACTTGCAGACAAGTACTTTGATTTATTTTCAGACCAGAAGGAACCGCTATGGACAGTAAGTGTGCTGTAGTTTTCATATTTGTTTCATTTATTTAATCTGACAAAAACATACAAAAATGTTCAAATACATAGTTTCTTGAGTGTAAAAGACCCACCCACTATAAACTTTAGATTTCATCAAGTTTAGGTGGTGGGTTTGTTCATGAGGGCTAGAATATTTTAAAGAAAAATATGCATTCTTGACTATTTCTAGATCTAGTTTAGGCTATTTTAAAGAAAAATATGCATTCTTGACTATTTCTAGATCTAATTTAGACCTCACAGAGTCCAGCCTCGCATGAGGTCTCACCAATTAGGCCTTGGGAGTTACTGTAGGTAGCCCAGTACAGTACTACATGCAGCTGGCATTCTAATGCTCAATTTCTATGCACTTTATATTGGTTAGTGGGTGGAGCATTTTGCAAACTCAAAAGTAGGCCTATACCGAAGGACCTGTGGGGGATATGTTTTATATGTCTTCAATCATACACTTTTTGAATGATAATCCTAGAGAATATTGGTTTTGTTGAATCTGAATAGATACTGACAGAGGATATGTCAGTGTTCGTCATCGATCTTCAAGCTTAGGTGTTATTTATTTATCTATGATTTTATTATTTAAATATGTTGTACTAGCAAATGATTTTGTGTACGCAACACAAGGTATGTTGACATGAAACTATTAACAAAACTTCAATATTATACAATAGTAAAAACAAAATTTATTTTAAGATTGCAAATATTTCATTTTCGTTTTTGTTATCATTAATAGCAGTTCATTGTACTGTACAGTTCCATTTCGTTTAATATGTTACTCAAATTTAAATGCATCGCTGTGGATAGAATTGCATACTAAAAAAACTGAGATTATATAGTATTGTACTGGAGGGGATAAATTGCACGTCTCGCAGAGAACCATCAATTTAATGGCAATCGTCAAGGGAACAAAATGTCATGCAGCTATGATTGACAGCTGAAACATTTATACTATAATATTTGTTGAAATGATATGCTGTAGTTTCGAATGATAAGAACCATTTGTTTTGAGAAACAGCATCAAACTTATACTTCTATCTAACTACTAAAGTGATCTTATCTAACAATTGACTATAATACAAAAGCTTGAACTTAAGCCTCTTCTTATGTCCTGTCTGTAGATAAAATTATGGAATAGCATGTATTGTATAGTAGGTTATTTTGTATGAATAATAATCTGTAGATTCAACTGATAACAACCATGTGGGAAGCAAATTAAAATGTTTACATCTGTCTAACCAGTAAAGTGATCTTATCTAATAAATGACTGCAGTGGGGAAGCTTGTACAGTAGGCCTCTACTACTGTCCTGTTATCAGTAGATCTAGTTATGTAATATCTTATATTGTATAGTAGGTTATTTTGCACAATATAAATGATGATAAATTTTAAAAAACCCAATTTTTTATTATTTATTTCTTCTGTTGCGTAGTCACTTCACATATTGATTAGATTCACCGCAAACATTATGCTCTCTGTGGAAATCGTTCTTTTTTTTCACTTTAAAGTAAATAACTTAGCAGATCTTTTTAAACAATATGAAATGTTTATGGTCATTATTTAGAATTCAAATCCAAGACAAGTCATAGTTATACCTTTGCTCAAATTGATGAATCACTTTTTCTTGAATATTTCCCATCATATTTTTGCTCTTTATATATTCTTCTAGAATCCCTGTGACGACAAACGGCATCTAGATATTTGGGCGGAAAATAAATCATGCAAAAACTTGCCGGACTTCCTTATCATTGGACCTCAGAAAACAGGTAAATTTGATATAAATAATTGAATCAATAAAATCTATTCCAGATCAACATTCATGTATGTCAGCAATTGTGCGAATACGTGAACTGGAAGGGAGAAACGTACATTCCTGCCCTTTATGGAGTTTTTTTTACCTGTACCAGCAAAAATGCATGTTAGCTCAGTTGGCTAAACTGGTGGTAGCCACTGTGTGTGTGCTGAACCTTGGAGATCTCTATGTCCCTGGTTCAATACCCATCGCTGCTCTCCTTGTAAGTTACGATAGCACCCCGTCTTTCGGATGAGACATTTAAGCTGTTCATTCTGCGTGCATTATGGCCTGTTTGCATGTTTATTGAACGCGATAAACTATTCAGAAAAGAGTAGGGGATAGATTGTCTCCAGGTGTACTGCCCAATGGAAATAAGTCTTCTTCAGACTTTTGTGGGTTATCCTTGGTGTTTACACCGAATAAATCCATCTATCCATCCATGCTGAATGGGAAACCTTTACCACCAAACTACAAAGCTTAACATTTGACAATCTGCAAGCTGAACCATCAACAATCGTAAATGTCCTCAATCTTATAAATTCTAGATCTTTTGAATGTTAATGAGGATGTTAATCAAAGCAATTTTTCCTTTTTTGACTAGGGACCACTGCTCTTTATACATTTTTAAGTATGCATCCAGCCATATGCAGTAACATAGCGAGCACAAGAACTTATGAAGAGGTGCAGTTCTTCAGTGGCACCAATTATTTCAGAGGCATTGACTGGTAAGCAATTCTAGAATCTCAATATTTTGATTTATCTCAGTTTCATCCAACAGGGAATGACTTGGCAGGTATTGAATTGAAGTGAGGTTCTGTTAGGTGAGTCTGTGTTTACGTTGGATAAATTTTGACCAAGAATGGTAACTTAATTGTACTGCTATACTTAAATTTAAATGCGAGGTATATTTTCGCTCATTGCTAAATTTGCAGTGAGCGACCATAGTGCGAAAAATATGCTCAGTAACAACAACCCAGTTATTTAATTTGAGTGGTTAAACTAAAGAATAAACGAAAGTGCTACGAACATTAGAGACACGCAGTCACTAGCCTGAGCTGGGTTCCTCAGGTTTATTTTAAGGCTAGAGTTTTTTTATTTGGATGTATCAGTAAAAAAAGTTGTATTCAAACAAGTCTTATAATTGTTATAAAATGAGTAATTGTTTAAGACATAAACAATTAGAGAATGAGCATATTAAACCACAAAGCCACAGCATCTTAGTTGGTATTTAGGTTTATTACACGTTGACATAATTATACACTATATTCCCATTGTCAGAGCCTTATCTTTAAGAGGCAATGTACCGAATCACATGCGATAAAAATCTGTGGCTTTGTCACATTTTATGTATGTTTGTCTTCACCAAGGAATATGATTATGTACCTTATATGTGGTTTGGAATTGTATTGGTTGGTGCTGAAATACATGTATTCTAGGAAGTAGACTTCAGAGAATAAAGATGTCGTTGGACAATGTGACCACGGGCAAATGTAAAAAAGAACCGTGTGCATTTATTCCTTATATAGATGTTTGTGCTAAACTCAAAAACCCAGTTACCTTTATCTGTTGTTGTTTCATTAATATTAAAATTGTATGTTATTATTATTTATCCATTGTTTTTGGGGAACTTTGTGTCTGGGTTTGTCCAAATTTATATCAATTTTCTTAATCAAATGAGTGTCAAATAATTCTAATATATTTTTATTTTCTTACAGGTACCTGGAATTTTTCCCTGGAAATCGCTCAAACGTAATATTTGAAAAGAGTGCGACTTATTTTGACAATCCAAATGTGCCACGCCGAGCGCATGCTCTGCTTCCCAAAGCCAAGCTGATAACGATACTGATCAGCCCTTCCAAGAGGGCTTACTCCTGGTACCAAGTAAGTCTTTGTAACAATAATTATTGGTTGATTGCTAAATTTGTTAACTGTATTGTCTCTATCTACTACGTTTATATAATCAATTTTTAGATCTGTGCAATGTAATTTTTGTAGTTTTATTATTTTGAATTTGAATGATTTTTTTTAACATAATCACTTTTTAATATTTGTACAATTTTTGATATTTACCATTTTATATTATCCAAATGGTGTGTTTTCATATGAAATAAGTAAAAGTGAATTGAACCAAACTGTAATAATATAGCTCTTAAATAATTCTCTCTATTTTAAAATTAAAAACTCATAACAAATTTAAGTTTAAAACAGCTATCGGGGGAGTGGGGGAGCAACTTGATTTCTTACTCCACCACAAAATCTAAAATATCCCACTGAATAATATAAATGAGTGGTGCTGGAAGAGATATTTCTTGCTTCAAACACGGTATCCATTCGTAGAAGTCTTAAGAAGATAAGCCTACCTAATAGTGACCTTGTTAGGTCAAAACCAGGACATAGAGTATCTCCGACTCTAAATTGACAGATTGGAATTGTGTTAAATATAGATGCAATGTATACTTGGACCAGCCTAGAAAATGTAATAAATATGTGTAATCTAATAAATAAGCTTAACTGCATAATAAAGTAAGTAAGTAACTTTTATTGCTCCTCTTTTATAACAGAGGCACAACTGTAAAAAATGTGCAACAATAACCAAATCAGTAAAAACTTAATTACTAAATATAGTAAGAAAATGTTGCAGTAGAACAAAATATATATAAAAATGGGTTTATAAAAAAAACCACCTTTACAAAAATAGTAATAGAAATAATAATAAATACTAATACTAATAATATAAGTGAATAGGTTAATAGGAAAATAAACATTTTGTATATATATAATTATATATATATACATATGTACACATATATACACACACATATATATATACCCAAACATATACATACATATACACACACACCCCCAATGAAATGTAGAGAAAAAAAGACAAAAATTAGACACAGATTAAAACAATTCCTGATTTTACTATCCATTCATTTATTAAGCTGCTACAGTAAAAAAAAAAGGCTAAATATAATTAACTATATAAATTACTAATTTCACTGCCATCAAATTTGAGGGTCTGCAAAATATACATAAAAATGTTAACAATAATAATAATAATGCGTAATTAATAAGAATCTGTAATTAATAAGAAAATTTCCCTTAATAATTTTAAAATGGAAGCAAATAAATTCAAATACCCTCTTGAATTTTTCTAGTTTAATGGCTTAACAGAGTATACATTTAATGGTTTCAGTAACAAATAAAAATTGATTGTAACTGAAAGTTACTAATAATTTATAGTCTGTAGTACTATATAAATATTCATTAATTGTTTAATCAAAGGTATAAGTTTCCTAATTTAAATATTTTCCCATGATAATTTATTTGTCAGCATATGCGGTCTCACAACGATCCAGTAGCCTTGAACTACACATTCTATGAGATAGTGAGTGCAGACAAGTCCTCACTGTCAGCCATCCATGACTTGCGCAGACGGTGCTTAGAGCCAGGAAAGTATGCTAAGCATCTTGATCGCTGGATGTCCCACTACACTTCAAATCAGGTATGAACAAAGAGGCCTAGAGCTTCATATATGTTAGTTTTTAAACTTGATCGTTGGATGTCCCACTACACTTCAAATCAGGTATGAACAAAGAGGCCTAGAGCTTCATATGTGTTAGTTTTTAAACTTGATTGCTGGATGTCCCACTACACTTCAAATCAGGTATGAACAAAGAGGCCTAGAGCTTCATATGTGTTAGTTTTTAAACTTGATTGCTGGATGTCCGACTACACTTCAAATCAGGTATGAACAAAGAGGCCTAGAGCTTTATATGTGTTAGTTTTTAAACTTGATTGCTGGATGTCCCACTAAACTTCAAATCAGGTATGAACAAAGACGCCTAGAGCTTCATATGTGTTAGTTTTTCAACTATTTCTATGAATGTAGTGTACTTACTGTTTGTTCATGCTTTGTGTATCAAATTTGTAATTTGTTTGTTTTGATGAGGACTCCCTTTAAAATCAGCTTCACTGAGTGGGACTTCCACTTGAAATATTTTCATTCATTCATTTCATTTTATTTTATTTCACACAATGCAAAAATACAATATAAAATTCTTCAGAAAGGTAAATAAATAACAAGGACAATGTAATCTACATGTAAGTAATATAATAATAATAATAGTAATAATAATAATAGTAAAAATAATAATACTAAAAATAATAATAATAAAAATAATAATAATAATTATTGTTTAATTTATGTACATTTTATTTTTTTTCTTAAAAATCCAGATTAAAATATGTTTCTGTTGTAAGCTGATAAGTTTCAATAGCTTGAGAAACAATAATGATATTGTACTTATTATTATCATCATATAATTATTATTCCTTATCTGAAATCAACACTTTTTATCAGTGACACACCTACAAAATGATGATTAAAGAAGAAAAACAAATGAAATTGAAGCTAAAAACGTAACAGATCAAAGGATCTATAAAATTAACAAAATAAATTATTAAAAACACAATACTAGTACCTTAATACTCTATCACTCTACCGTCCCTCCCCTTTCTGTAAAAAGATAATAATAATATGTCGTTCTTATATAGCGCTTCATGCACAAAGCCTTTAAGCTCGGGGAAGCCTTTAAGCTTCCCCGGTCATTGGATCAAACACATATGGAACACATACTGAACACCAAAATAAATTATTAAATTAAATTATATAATTATTCCATAATATGGCAGCTAGTAATCAGCGCAGTTGTGTTAGAACCTACCAAGTACCCACTTGTACTCCTTGGTGGAGAGAGGCAACCGTAGATAACTTGCCTTGCCCAAGGATATAAGCGATTTGCACAGCGAGAGTTTCGAACACCCGACCTCGAGGTTGGGATGGAGTCCAAGCCACAACCGATGCGCCAGCTGCTTCTGTAAGTGTTTGGTGGTGTGTAAAGCATCTCTGGAATATTGTAAATCTCTTTTTTTATTTCAGTTACTAATCTTAGATGGAGAGTTGTTGAAAGAAAATCCTGCAGGAACGATGTCCAAAGTGCAACATTTTCTGCACATCAAGAAACAGTATGATTACTTCACACACCTAAAGTAAGGAACTCGCATCGGCTTTACTTTTTGTCTAAGTAGGACATGCTAAAATTAAGATTTGCATGGCAAAAAACAACAGAACAACAGTTTTTTTCAGAACTATCTATGCAGTGATGGTGGCATTTCTGAGCATAAACTAATAATACAGTAGTTATGTGCCTAGCTATGCTAAATATGTTTAGCCTACCTCAAGCAGAGTCCACCCTGAGACGTGTGCCTCACAAATTGTAGATATTTTGAATATATTGGGGTAGTTTTTTGCATGAAAGTTACTCCGTTAGAACGATAGCTTTTAACTGAGGACTTACCATTTGAGATATATTAATGCCCACATCCTTGATGCTCAATACGTAACATAAACAAAATTTCAATGACCCAATGATCAAGGAATACAAAGCCTTTGATAATCAAAGGAAAAGGCACTATGTAAATGCCAAGTAACAAATAACAAATAAATAATATTTTTTGTCATGAAATTGCATTTGAAAACTGAAGACCATAACATGTATAAATAGCGTTGATTATTTGTTTTAATAAAATTTGAACTGAATTATTTGATTTCATTTTTTTTTTAAATTTAGGTATGACAACAAAAAAGGATTCTACTGCCAGTTACTGAACAGCGGGCGGACCAAATGCCTTGGAAACAGCAAGGGACGGGTGTACCCCCAAATGGATCGTGAATCCCAGAGCTATTTATCGCAGTATTATCTATCACACAACAAGGATTTAAAAGCCTTGCTTATGAAGTTAGGCTACAGGATTCCACATTGGCTGAAAGAGGAACTAGAGTTAGCAGAATATGCATAAATTTATGAATCTATTTTAACAACTCCTCCAAAAAATTTATAATAAAAACACTGTGAATATAAAATGTGTACAAATTTGCGGGGAAAAGGATGCAAGTTGAATTTTAGATTAGATTAGTAATGACCTAATTAAATTTCAAATTGATATGCAGGGAATTTATCTATATATCTTCTTTTGATAGAAGTGATAGTATTATTATCAATCACTGAGTTAAATCTTCTGATTGAATTTTCAATTGTTTTTTTCTTCATTTTCATCTAAAGAATTGAGCTATATTTCAGCCTGGTCTTGTCTACAAAGTTGTCTACTTTGTTAATAATCACTGTCAGGAACCATTACAATGGATGGATAGGTTGGATGTTGAAGTATAATAACAATGAAATACAGAAAATATACTCTTTTTGCTGCCCTCTATGACCATACTCAGCAACTAGTCTTGTACCTGCATGTTTTTGCTATACATTTTGAATGTCATGCAAATCATTTTGTGGATTAATAATTCATAGATGAACATGAATATTTGTAACATGATGATTATCAATAATGTTGCATAGCAATGAGCTTGAAGCTTTGACAGAATTGTAAACAGTTTTTTTATTTTTATTTACCAATGTTAATGTCTGTAAATTAATTTTTAAATATTTCTTATTTTTACCTCCACATTTATAATGTGTGTGATATGTTATATGACATCTGATTTTAATTTTATTTTTTTTGTAATTTTGATATGGTGAATTATATGTGGTATTTTGAATATTGTTGGTTTAAATTCTACCACCTCAATTTGTCTGCCTATGTATCTTAAATCATGTAAAGATATATATAAACAAATATTTTTTTTTATGGTAATGACATACAAACAGTAATAATCACCTCATATGTATATATCTATTGTTCCTACATGAAACAGAAATGAAGTGAGTTAGAGTTAACACTTTAAAGAACTAAATGTGTTTGGTCAGAACATAAATATTATTTATTCTAACAATTTTTTTTATCCTTATATGAAACAAATGTATAATACAATAAAGGAGCCCTTAGGATAAGTCCGAATATTTGTAAGAATAAATTGTGTTTATGTTTAAAACATTTTAACCCTGTTCTTTGAATTATATCTCCAACACACTTTTCTTATATATATATGTATGCGTAATTTGTTGTATACTTTAAACTTACCTGTTTATGTAATGGAAGAGGCAACTGTTATATGGAAAAACACACACTTTATCATGGATTTGTATATTGAGCTAGGAATATTCCATTTTGAAACAGGGTTATTAGTCATATATTACTGTAATCTTAATATATAAGAATGTAACTGTATATAGGTACATGCAATCCACTGGTAAGCAACTTTGTGATGTAATGTATAAAGAAACAGCTTTGAATAAGAAGCATATCTATTTTTCTGCCCAAATTATTGTGGATATATTTTATATGTAAATGAGAGAGCAAAGGTAATTTAGCCCTCTATCTTTTCCCATGTTTCAGTGAAAGTTCATTTGCTCAGTAAATTTTAGGTGAAACTAAATGTTCTTTTAAATGCCCAATTAAATTATTGCAGTTTTAAGAATTATCAAATTCTAAAAATAGTGATAATGTCACCAAAAAGGTAGCTCATTGGTTTGATGTTGTGCAGCTAAAAATACCACCTTTATAATTAGGTCTAAACATATGTGTGCATTTATAGATTAGAAACCGTGAGAGAAAAATATTGTATATATAAAGTACCATTGAGTAGTATTGGATTATTAATTCCTTTTATAATATTATTATTATTATTGAAATATAAATTCCTTTTGTACTGTATCAGTGCTTAATTTGTCTAATAGTAACTTTTTTGCATGTTCTAGCTATAGTGACAAAGTGATACTTAGATTTTAATCTTATAAATTCATAGCATTATTACTTTTTACATTAAGGTGCTTGAAACATTTTAATAAGGCAACTATTAAATTCTGTAATATTGTATTTTAGTAATTTTACTGCACACATAAACTGTACTTACATATATATACGGGTACATAAGTGTATCGTGTACATATATAGATGCATACAAATGCAAAAATAATCTGATGGAATACATGCTTATGTACATTGAAAATTCATGCACTTTTCAATCATATACCAATTGTACACTCAAAACTATATATACAATGAAACATACACACCAACACCCACACCAATTATACATATGTGAATATTCTTAACCATATAATGTATCAACAATATTTAAGACATGTATGAGAGTACATGCATGTTTATGTTTACTCTTGTCTCCTTTTACCTTTATTATAATACATATTCCTTGTCATTCTCTTTTCCCTTCTTCCAACCTCTTCCTGCACTCTCATGTTTCCACCTGCACTGTTTATTTTCTAGAGAATGTTCCTTCTTTATTGTAAAGAAAATACAGATTCAATGTGGATTCCATGTTTCACATAAATTCTTGTCAAGTTGCTTATTGGTGTTGAGATGCTTTTCTTAATTATTCTTAAATCCTTCTAGACTATCAAATTTTATTTGACAAAAATAACTATTGTATTCCCTTATATGGTCATGATGTGATGTCATCATGACCATTATTAGGCATGTCACATGTTTTGGCAAATAGAATTTGATAGTCTGTGCAGAGCTTTGGATAATTTAAATTATGAATACGGGTATTTACATTTGGTTAATTGAAGAAAAAATGTGTATCAGTACATGTCTTCTTGCATATGTATGTGTGTACCTATATATAATACATTTATACACAGTGCGAGTGTATTCATTACGTGTGAATTAAATTATTTTCATCGCCCATTGTGTTAATGTGAATGCATAATAAATAAATGTTTCAAATATTTGTATACCACTCAGTTTCTTTAATTGCTTCCCTTATTTTTAAGTACACACTATTGTATCATATACAGCATACTCCAAATACTGTACAGTAAAGGTAGGATTATATATCATGGGTTCACCATCTGACCTGCCAATGATTTCTTGACACCATTAAACATCAGTTGCGGACCCGACTCACCAGATCAACCACAATCTATCCGTTATGATTATTTGGACACATGGACCATTTTGAATATCATCTGACTTATACATGGATTGGATTGGATTTGATTGATGTTTAACTTTAAAACTAATTTTCAAGTGGCATTTGTCAACCTGTAAATTGTGATCCATTAGTTCCCAATAGAACACAAAGCAGCCAAAAATGGCAAAGTAAAAAATCGTCCCAAAAGAATTGAGCTATTCCCCTTTACATTTTTAGCGAAAATTGGCCAAATTTCTCACCGCCAAGAGCTGTCCGGGCCCATTGGTGGATCGATGGGCACATCCCTGGTTTCCCCCCCACCCCGAAGCTACAGCCTTTTAACTTGGAGAACTAATTTAATCGATTATAGAGTGCCTAATTTCACCACCAGATGATGAAAACTATGTACCTCAGCCCTTTTTTTTCTCAATTTTTGTTAAATTTAAAGATTTAGATAGTGGGGGGCCAGGTCTCCATTTAATCGATGTTTAACTTTAAAACTAATTTTCAAGTGGCATTTGTCAACCTGTAAATTGTGATCCATTAGTTCCCAATAGAACACAAAGCAGCCAAAAATGGCAAAGTAAAAAATCGTCCCAAAAGAATTGAGCTATTCCCCTTTACATTTTTAGCGAAAATTGGCCAAATTTCTCACCGCCAAGAGCTGTCCGGGCCCATTGGTGGATCGATGGGCACATCCCTGGTTTCCCCCCCACCCCGAAGCTACAGCCTTTTAACTTGGAGAACTAATTTAATCGATTATAGAGTGCCTAATTTCACCACCAGATGATGAAAACTATGTACCTCAGCCCTTTTTTTTCTCAATTTTTGTTAAATTTAAAGATTTAGATAGTGGGGGGCCAGGTCTCCATTTAATCCGCCACTAGTAAAGAATTTACTATTTTATACATTCAGTAAACTGAGGGGCTTATGTAGTAAAATAGGCTCCAGTTCGCAATTCATGTTAATTAATGCAACAGTGTTTTTCCGACTCCGGATTTTATACTGAACAAGAAAAACATTGGTACATTTTTGTTTGTATGAAGTTGGTTGGTTTTCTTGGTTCTAGTACTGATATTTTGTAGTCTTATGTTTGTAACATTTTTATTTCATTAAACATTGTAAATAACCATATTATTTGTTCATTGCAGTGACAGTTTCACTATCAATATATATTTTTAAGTGCATGTTAGTACAGCTGCAATATCCTAGTATTTTCCAGTCAGGCAAAAACAAAATCGTTTAGCAGACTGCTTGGTTATGAGATCAATTGTAAATACCGTATGTATAGGAATAAACACCCAGGGACTTTCATTCTTAAAGGTTTTATTTGAGGAAGGCGTTTATTATTATTATTATTATTTTATTTTGGTGTGAATTAGATGCATATATATATACTCAAAATATATGACCTTAAATTTCACTACAACACATTACTATCAAAATGAATGAAAAAAAAAGTCATTTGGTTGGGTAGGGAGTTGATTATTTGAGGAAAATATTAAGGCATTTATTCCAAATGAGGCTCTAGAGGGGATGCTTATTCAAATATATACAGTAATAGATTTATTTATGATTAACACTTTTCATGCAGAAGAATGAGACTATCTCACACCAGAAATCACCCCGGTACTTGTGAATCCGGATTTTAGGGGGTTACAACAAAAATTTGACATGAAATTTATTGATATTGACCGTAGGTCTAACTAGTAATGAATTGAAGATTATGGATTCACCTACAGTAATAACAGGCATATTTCATTTTAATTTTTATAAAAAAAAAAGTTCTGCTGAACACCAGGCATAACATTTCTGTCTAATTTTTGAAACTAAGCAAAATCAAAGAATGATGTGATAATAGCCTTCATGCATCTTGACACGACAGGCGAAATTTCGCTGAAACAATATCGTTTGGCATACCTAGCTTCTATAGTTTATAAGAAACAGTTGGCCGAATCCGAAAAAAAAAAAAATTAAAAAAATCTGCCTACAAAAAGAGCGCACCTAATACAGGGGTTCCAAGTTGGAAGAAGTCATTTCTGGAAGGTCTGTGGTGGTGGGTCGAAGGGTGTGAACCACATCAACCCCACCATGGTTGGAGCTGAGGAAAATAATATGTATGATTGTGACACGTTTAGATTGCCGGAAATTGCCCTCTCAGACATGAATTTTAATATAACTTTCATTTCTACCCCATTTTTTTTCCATAATTTTTAAATATTTTATAGGAGGCCCGGCTGACTTTCTCTATGTACTGTACTACTGACCTGGTTACAGATTTCATAACGCATTTAATTATATTTTACTACACATAGTGATACCCACCGGCACTGACTTCACGGCCTACTTTAAAAAATGATTAAAAAAAATAAAAATAAAAAAAAGCACAGTGAAAACATGCAAAT